TTCTCCTTCTACAATAATTAAATTATTTATATTATGAGTTAACTATTGTGCTGTGTGATGAACCCTTTGTGTATTAATTAATTCTAATATACAGTTCAGATCTGTACTGAAATAATCTAAACCATTTGTACAACTCACAAAGCCCCTAAAACTTAATCTTAAATTCATATTTTGTAAAACCTTACCTATGATTAGAAAAACAAATGTAAATTTTCAACTTGTGTAAAAAATTACATCTCTTCCATTACTGCTGTTGTTGTGGGACGGGGTGAAAATAACCCCTCATATTGGTTCTAGCAGTAAAGCCAGCATGTCATTACACTTGAGAGCTGTACAAAGTTAAAACTGGTCATTTATTTTCTTTTGTGACTGTCACAAAAATGTAAAGATGGCGTGTTAGCTACTTTCCATTGGATGTTCACAAGGTGAGCAAAGGTTGCTACAAGAAGGCAGCCCAAAACTGAAAAATGTCAGTGTGTGCAGTTTTAAAGGCCGCTACTGCTGGCACTCTACAGCTGTTAGGTTGGGACCAAGGAAAGTATTGTTTCACTTCAGTGTCTCTTATGTTGGGTTTAGTAAATACCGGAGTCATTCTATATACAGCCTCAATCTTTTACATTGAGAACAGTTTTCTATCCAATTTTCTAATCCAGTTTTTTTTAACATGAGTGAAAAAATATGGGGCTAAGATGGAAAAGTTGTCATATCATTAATAATAATGTGTGACATAGGAAAAATGTCATATCTCTAGCATGTCTACCACATCTTTTTCATTGTTTTATAGTTTTTTGAAAACAGCGACTGAAGACTTTTCACAACCAGCTGTTACTGCAGCTTGTCAATTGGGGAATGAACAAGATAATACTTTTCCTCTATACAGACTGTGACCACATTTAGTTAAACTTTGTGGCACGTTTAAAAGAAAAGTCAGCTGCTGTATAGCTCACCTGTTCCACGTTGTATCCATGTTTTTCTTTGGCAATAGCAATGTATTCATCAACTGTGGAGGGAGACACACACAGACTGTTAGATGGATCTGATCTTTTGTGTCAAAAAGAAGAAAGAAAAAAAGAAATCACAGAAGGTGGACTAAATATTTTCAGTCAAACACAATATTAACATTACGTTTGGAGTCAATGATGGTGTGATAAGGAGACCAAACCAGCATCCCTCCGCTGTCTTTATCTGTGTACTTGGTGGCACCTGTACAAACATTATAGAAAAATGATAAAAACAACAGATTTTATTCAGCTGCTGCTAATTTAACACTTATAAGTTATTTTATCAGTGATATACAGCAGATACAGTTTGTACATATGTTATTACAGAATATCATCAGGGAAGAACTATTCCTATTACTCCTTCTGTTTGAGCCA